TATCCATAACCATAATCACAGCAACAACATCAGCAGCAGCAGCAGCGGCAGCAGCAGTAACAACAACAGCCACAGAATGGACACCGACGATGTGGAATCGAATACCAGCAGCGCCATGTCCACCCTGGGGACACTCTTCTCGTTCACATCGCCGGCGGTGAAGAAGCTGCTGGGCTGGAAGCAGGGCGACGAGGAGGAGAAATGGGCTGAGAAGGCGGTCGATAGTCTTGTGAAAAAGCTGAAGAAACGCAAGGGAGCCATCGAGGAGCTGGAGCGAGCGCTGTCCTGTCCCGGCCAGCCTTCAAAGTGTGTGACCATTCCACGATCATTGGATGGACGATTACAGGTTAGTTCCATCAAATACAATATTCCATGGATATCCAACTAATTTGCATTGTTTCTTGTTAGGTTTCACATCGCAAAGGCCTGCCACATGTGATATATTGCCGCGTGTGGCGCTGGCCCGATCTGCAGTCGCATCATGAACTGAAACCGCTCGAAATTTGCCAATATCCATTCAGCGCCAAACAGAAAGAGGTCTGCATCAATCCGTATCACTACAAGCGCGTGGAGAGTCCCGTCCTGCCGCCCGTCCTAGTGCCGCGCCACTCGGAATTCGCCCCAGGACACTCGATGCTGCAGTTCAATCACGTGGCCGAGCCAAGTATGCCGCACAATGTGAGCTACTCGAACACCGGCTTCAATTCGCACAGTCTCAGCAATAGCAACACATCGGTGGGCAGCCCCAGCTCCGTCAACTCCAATCCGAACTCGCCATACGACAGCCTGGCTGGCACACCACCACCTGCCTACAGTCCCTCGGAGGATGGCAATTCCAACAATCCGAACGATGGCAATCAGCTGCTCGACGCCCAGATGGGAGACGTGGCGCAGGTTAGCTACTCGGAGCCGGCCTTCTGGGCCTCCATTGCCTACTATGAGCTCAATTGTCGGGTGGGCGAGGTGTTCCACTGCAACAATAACTCCGTCATAGTCGATGGCTTCACAAATCCATCCAACAATTCGGACCGCTGCTGTCTCGGCCAGCTGAGCAATGTGAATCGGAACAGTACCATAGAGAATACGCGACGTCATATAGGTGGGTTTCAATTTATTTGATTTAATTAAGAAGATTTCATATTAAGTATTTTGTAATATTTTGCATGTTCCCAGCCAAGAGCGGTCAATATTTTTGTCTATTGAAGTTCTAAGTATTTAAGCTTTCAATTTATAATCATTCTTTTGCTCAGAACTTAACTAAATTCGAGTTTTCACAAGAATTCCCGATAAGTAAAAGTGATTGCAAGTGCCACCATAACTCATTAAGATTATTTTATGAATGGTCTTAAATTAGAAACTACAAATGGTTCTATAATTAAACACTCATCGAATGCTATTATCAGTTCATTCAGAGATGTGTTTCCGAATGAAATGGTAGCTTCAAACTGAAATGGGTCAAGTTTATGAGGATCAAACTACGATGAAAGTAGGTGTAGGTTCTGATTATGAATTAACTAATCCATTCAACTTTTTTCGTATATTTAAAGATAGGAACTAATATTTAAATCGTTTTAAATCAGATATTTTTTATTTTGGTTTTATTAATCAATCAATAGCAACAGAAAATACCTTCGTAATATAGAAAAAGTTGTATTTAAAAAACGCAGGCCCAAAAGAGAAGCAAATGTGAAAATCCCAATATAGGTATCGTATATGGATTGATTGCACGTCTTAAAGGTGTTTAGTGCTAAAAATAGTATTCTATTTTATAAATTTTCATCTGCTTTTCATAGTCAGATATAAATTGATTAATTTTTGGCTACTTGTCCTTCAAAAAGTGTTTTAATCTTTTCGAAAGATTAAATTATATTTATGCTAAATTTATATGTCCATCCCCAAAGTAAACTGTATTATAATGTTATTCATTTCGTATCTCTTGTTTCTCCCGTCTTCAGGTAAAGGCGTTCATTTGTACTATGTGACCGGCGAGGTGTATGCCGAGTGTCTCTCCGATTCCGCCATATTCGTGCAGTCCCGGAACTGCAACTACCACCATGGGTTCCATCCGAGCACCGTGTGCAAAATACCACCCGGATGCTCGCTCAAGATCTTCAACAATCAGGAATTTGCTCAACTCCTCTCACAGTCGGTGAACAATGGCTTCGAGGCCGTCTACGAGCTGACGAAAATGTGCACGATTCGCATGTCGTTCGTCAAGGGCTGGGGAGCGGAGTACCATCGCCAGGATGTGACGTCGACGCCCTGCTGGATCGAGATCCACTTACACGGGCCGCTGCAATGGCTGGACAAGGTGCTCACCCAGATGGGGTCGCCACATAATGCAATTAGTTCGGTATCCTAAGTTTAAGACACAAAACAAAAACACAGAAAAACAAACAAACAAAAAAAAACCAGTAGCTAAATGAGTATGTGTGTGTGTGTGTACGCAAGAGCAAAGTATGTAAAAGACGTAGAAACAGGACAGAAAAGATAAAAGAGATCCCAACTAAAGGGGAGTGAAGAGAAGAAGTATATTTAGTGCCTGAAGATGATCATAAGAGTTGACATTTTGATGTCTATATAATGTGTAGTATGTGTAGGCATAGATCTATATGCCCCATATAAACACTATCCAGATCTATCCATATATATGTGGATATACAGATGTATGTATGTATATGGAAAGCTACTCAAAAAACCCGCCCTTTGCCTATATTTTATAGTTTATGATCGTATGATTTTCTATGCGAATGTCATTCCTAACGCTAATACAAAACAAAACGAAAAAAAAAACGCAAAAAAATGAACAAACATTTATGTAAGGAACCACCTACAAAATGGTTATAACTATATACACACATGATCTATATAAAATAATGATCTACCTATATGCAATGCAATGCTGTATGATGCCCATTGGCAAAAACGTTGTCGTTCAACTCTATTTCAAGTGCTACTTATGTGTCATTGCAAAAACTGCTTTAAATATAAATGAAAAATATATAAAAAAGCAACAAAAAGAAGAAAAAATCACCTAATTAAACCTATCCACTTAAAGTACATAAACTAAAGAGAGAGTTTACATAAGAATACGATGAAAACTTTATGCAATACATTTCTTAAAATGATTTTTTTTATAGAAGAAACCCCCCATTTATGTTCTCATTCTTTGCGGTTGGCTTTTGATCAACGAATTCAATGTTTTAAAAAAGTTGATTTAAATTTATGGTTTAACTAATTTTAAGTTGAAAATACTATAGAAAAACAGACGAAAAAAACTATAAAAAACACTGCAATTGAAAAATGTTTAATTTTAATTAATTACTTTTTGCAAACAATGATCTTTTGTTATCTTAAGTACATAATTTACGTTTAATTGAGGAAGGAAGCCATTCATTTAAAAAAAAAATCCCTTTTTTTCTACAAATAAATATGTATAATTTTGAATAAACTTAATTTAAGAATTTTGTTAGTTATTATGATTTTTTTGTATTCATTCTTGACTAGATCCTTCAAATTTTTGTGTTCCAAACCAATAGTTGAAAAAAGAGAATTAAACAAAACCCCACAAGAAATGCCTTATTTTGAAATAAACTCGTTTTTTGACTCATCAGTTTAGTTTAAAATTGATTTATTGGAATTTTGCAACAACAATTAAACACTTACCATGATATATAAATACTTAAATATGAAAATGTAAATTTAGCTGTATATTAGAGGCTTGGGCAGGACACGGCCTTATATAAACTATGATGTAATAATTGTGCCTATTTGAAATTTTACTTGCGCCTTTGATGTTTGTACGACATATAGTCAGTTTTTACTGAATAATCCAAGAGGTCACTCTTCCGTAACCTCACACCACAGAAAATACTCGAGCAGAATATATGCAAACAGCCTTAAAGTTTACACAGTTTTTGCAGCAACCACCATACAAAAAACTATATGAATTGCCTTAAACACATTCTATTGAAATGCCTTGCTTGCCATTTAATGTTTAATGTATGTAATATTGTAAAAGTATAAAATATATTAAAGGATAAACTGTTTGTTTCATTTCGAATTTTGTAAAGCTGTCTCGAATTATTTATTGCACGTAAGTATCGATATTCTGGTGAATGCTATCGAAAAGTCGTAATTTTGTTGGTCGACAGTCGCAAAATCTGGCAGTGGCTCAATTATTTCTTAGAAAAATAAGTTAAATTGCTAAAAATATAATGTAGCTAAAGAACCAACAATTAGAGATAAAGTAAATTAATTATACCTTGTATATGCATACAAAATCGCACCAAATAATCGATACATTCTTACAACTTGCACAGAAGTAATTCCAAACGATAGTCCATCGCTATTGTTTTTCTCTGTCAACACCATGAACGTCTCGCCCGTAAACGATCCATTGGAATTATTAACAAATAAGGGCAATCGCCAGGCTTCTTTCCTGTCGCCCATATGGAATCCCCTCACCTGCACCGTGGCCGGCTTCGGTCTGGCCATTTTCGTCAACTGGGGCTTCCGTAAGCCCGTGATGTCGGGTAAGTTCCTCGCCGTCTCCATGTGACGTAACATTGTTTTTGTGTGTTTAATATTGTAATTAAACGGTTACTAAATGTTCCCTGATAGGCATACAGAAACATATTGCCTTTGCGGCCATTGGCGGTGGTGCCGGCTACTATTTTGACCAGAAACGAAACGAGTATCTGGCCAAACGCGATGCCGTGCTGCGGCACTACATTGAGCTGCATCCCGAGGACTTTCCCGTGAAGGGTGAGTGGTCTAGAGGCTTATATTACTCGCCTAGGGATACCTAATTAACTTCTCGTGTTTACATTACAGATCGCAAAAAGTACGGCGATGTCTTGGAGAGCTGGGTCCCAGTGCGTTAAGATGCAGGCAGCAGTCGGTTTTGTCGTGAATCAAGCGATGCCCCCTGTAGCGCATTGTCCATATAGTTAATAAAGAAGCTTTAATTGTAGAAATGAATTCGAAGAAGAAAGTGATTCGAGCATATCTTTTACATATTTATTGACAAATTGGTTCGTTATTGGTTGACAAATATTCTATTGTTTTTGTATGGGACTGTTTTTTGAGAGCTGGGCCAGGCCGGCCGGTCAGAAGTTGTTTTCTATCAGCTTCTGTGATTTAAGCTTTTATTTTTGTAGTTTTAACGCTGGTTCAATGTGCTATTTCTTTTTGATGGTTTTTAAACTGGAGAATCGGTTTTATTTGTTGTTGTTGTTTTTTCTGCTTTTTGGTATGTGCTGTTCACGTTGGTTGATGTAATGCAGAAGTTTCTTACATATTGCTTTGTCTTCCTGTTGTTGATGAATTTATGTAATTATGAATTGATTTGTGGAATGTTATAGTCACATTTGTACTCGAATCTATTGTGTTGGGTATTTTGTGCTCATTTTTTTTATCTGGAGCACAAATTTGTTCGCTTCTTTTTGCAACTTCGCTTGCAGCAGTTTCTGTCTCGCCAACTTCTGTGCAGGGGTGAGAGTCTGCTGCTGGCTGAGTGAGCCCCATTGAAGTGCGTTCAGATCGATAGCCATTATTCTCAGCAAATTAATTATTCTGTTGAATTGAGGAGTGTCACCGAGATTCCGTGCACGATGCTTCTACAAGGAAAGTTGTATCATTCAAGCGCACACTAGCTGTTCTCTTCTAATATAAACATTGGCCGCCATCTTGGATATATAACTTTTTGATTTTTCGCTCCACACGACAAGTTTGATCGTGTAGATATGCTTCCCATAAATATACCGAAAATGTTATAAAATATGTTAAAAAAATACCTGTAATATACCGACAGATCAAAGGAACATACTACTCTTAGCCCTATATTTAAACAGGTGAAAACGTTGATTTTCCAATTATTTTTGTCTTCTAAAATTATTTATTTGAATTAGAATTAAATCTGCGCACAACAGCACGTCTTGTGCTGTAGTTAACAAAAGAACATTACGCTCCCGACTCACTTTGCGTTCTAATATGAGCACCCTGGGAGAGGATATCCCAGAGTGTTTTGCTACAGGAGAGAATTACCCAAACAGCGCGCGCAGGCTGCTATATTTTGAATTGAAGGCTTGCTTTGCTTTTCATACATATGTGGCCGCCCCGGAAAAACGTGTAACACTGCTCTGGGCGCACTGTTCCCACTAAGCTCCTATTTATTGGTCCCGAGCCACTCGGACGCCGTTTGTAACAGCAGAAAGTGTCTAATTTTGTTCTGAATTTAGAAAACTCCGTTGATAAATCACACTAAAATATCCGATATTTAATCAGCAAAATTCAAGAATATTGATATCCGATATATCATCTCTAACTGCCCCCGTTTCGTGTTTACCGGAATTTCATCCGTTTGTGTCTAGTTCCCTCGCATTGATGTTGTGCTTTTAAATAATTCCGCAAGCAACGAAGAAATCAAGCAAAAAACACAACAATGTAACACAAAAACCGCGCCATAAAAATCAATAACAAAAAGGAAGTGAACCAGTGACAAAAAGTGTTTAAATAAAAAGTAAATAGCAGTTGCAGATCTTACACTTGGAATTTTGTTTCGATTTTAGTCCGTTCGTTTTCCGCGCTCCGTCTGTGTATGTGTATATGCGTGTGTGTGTGTGCTTCGCTTCGTTCTTGTGTTTCGTGGTTTTACCGTTACAATTCCAAAAAAAAAGAAAATATAAGAGAAAACAAATAAAAGCAAATGAAAAAACAAAACCTAATTATTGTTCATTAACTAAAAGGGAAAGATAAATGGTTTTTTCGCTCTACCTTTTGAGCTCGCAGAAATCTTTGAACGGAACTTCAGAGTCCAAAGTCATTACAACAAAAATACAAAAACATTACAACATAAACAAAACACAACATCAATATAATATAATCGTAGCCTATTTAATTAAAAACTAAAACGACAAAGTCAAACACAACACCATCGATACATCACACATTTGGAAACCCTCCAAAAGCCGACGGCTTTTTGCTTTTGTGCGGACTTTTTTGCACTGCGAATTCTCTTATCTCTGCAAAGCAACTCCAACAAAACAACAAAAACAACGATTATGGCAAAGGTAACGTAACGCTAAAGCCCGGGCAAAGAAGCCTCAGATAAGCTCTTAATTTTATTAGAAAATTAATTATTTATGGCGAAACCAAGCAGCTGTCAGAAGACCAATCACCCAGCCTCACTCTTCTTTGGGCACTTTTCTTTATCACCGCGATCTTTTCTTTTTTTTACCGCGATGTGACGCGGTACAGTGGGAAAAAGACGGAGAAAAGTGTGCAGAAATAACAGATTTTTGATAATAATAATGGTAAATAATTTGTGCATTTTACTTTTTAACACAAAAAATACTAGAGTGTCGATTTAAAGTAGAGTTTTGGTTTGTATTTGGACTACTATCATATAGGGAGACACATAAGTTTGTGTCCATAAAAGGCAGCCCTAAAACATATAATTGGTGAAAAATGTATAGGAACATTACCAACTAAAACCTGGATATTCTTATAAAACTCAACCCAGAGCCCATCGGTACCTACGCAATTTCGTCTTGGTAAATGTTTATCAATTTGGATTTTATTTTATTGCTTGTGTACTTCTGTGTATTCCTCTGTGTGCATGTGTAACGGTGGGTGGAGAATGAGTGTGTGGGTTGGTCCTTGGGTGGGATTTTGGGGAAGTCAATATGGAGTGCTGGCGTTCGGTTTTCACTTGCTTGTATAAATTATGCATATTTTGTGGGTTTTATGCGTTGAATTCGCATTGATTTCTTTGGATTGCCGGTTGAATCAATGGAATCGATGGAGAGATTCCGCCTGTCGTCCGTTCACTTGCCTCACATGCACTTTATGATGTGTAAAATTGAACGAAAATTGTGCAGATGGAACAAAATGTTGTAGTCATAAAAATTGTTATGGCAAAATAGGTAGAAGACGATGGGATGTGGTCGTAAAATGTAACAAAAGTGGAAGAGATAAAGCAAATATATCAAAGAGAAGAAATAATGGGAAGAAGCTACAATATCATGTAACATTTGGCCATTTCTCTTCACTTAGGAACCAAGTATATACTGAGATTATGCACACAAGGTGCTAAAATCCATGAAATAATTGAAAGTATTTTTTTTCGAAATAAACAATTATTCTCTGCCCAAAGATACATTTACTTGCAAGATACCTTTCCCCTTTTAACCGCTTCTGAGTCGAATCGCTGCCTCAAGTGTTTCTCCCTGCAAAGAGCAGGAAATCTTACTTATTGCCCAATCTGGAGACCATTACGATGCGCGGCCGTAAAAGCCAGAAAAGCAAGAAAAGTCTTCAATCCCAATCAACCGATTAAAGTTCCGCAAAAAGGAAGGAACCCAAGGCACTTCGCGGCCATTTTTCACTGGCTACCAAATGAAGCTACATTTTTCTTAGGGTTTTGCCTGCTCAAGCAAATTTCGCAATACATTTTTTATGACAGAGCACGTGTGCGAAGGTAGCTGGGCATGTGGGTTATGGATGGGTGGGCGTCAGTTTATGGATGGGTATGTGTGGGTGCTCGTTGGAGAACCTCATCCAACAGTCGCGTGCCTGTTCGTTTCGTGACGGGTTTGTTTTGTTCCTTGATAAATTACCTTTTCACTTGTCGCTCTATATAAAATTATTTCTCTTTATCTTTAACTTTCCTTCATTTCCCGTAGCTTTTCGTTTCATTTTCTTTGTGGCCTGCTCGTTCCATTTTTCTTGCTGGCTGGCTATGAAATTTTGATTTTCATGTCTGCGACTCAAGTTCAGACACTCCCACACACACACAAGTTGGAACAATTCTATTTTGCAGTTCTCGAGAGGCTCAAGATCTCATTGGACCTGTGTTATTATGTACTCTGTGGAGAGGCTAACCACAGGCCAGAGACTTCCCCGTGTGCGGTAGTTTTTCTGTTGTCCTTGAGTGGAAAATACAATTGTGGCGATGGGGAAATGCAAATGATGAACTGTTGGGGTATCCTCTAGTAAGAGGATGGAAATTTCTCATGCTTTTAGTGTGCAGTTCAAAAAATACACTCTCCTCTTGTGGCTACAGGGCATACAGTATCCTTCAATGGCTCGCCTTTTTTCCGCGACATGCTCATAATCATCAGAGCTTCCCCTGGCATTCGTCCCTCTGTCCCTCTTGTCGTCTTGTCATGGCCCCTATATCATTATGTGCACCAGCCTGTAGTAGTATTATTATATTCCTTTCATATAATTGTCGACTGGGGGGCGCCTCTTATGTACACATTTTATTGTATTTTTTTTTGTGTCAACAGCAGCGGTCGCAGCAGCAGCAGGCACAACCACAGGAGTCGCCTGCAAGTGCAAGGATAACAAGGCGAAGGAGATATTGTTTGTGGTATACTTACCCCCCACTAATACGAAAAAGATGTGCGGCAAAGCATGAAAATATCCCATGTAAAAACAGTTTTCTGTTTCTTGAAGTTTCCTGCGTTAGAAATGGAAATCTTCTATGTAGAATTTTCAGGAATAATCTCGAATTCCGGAGAATAACTTGAAAGCCCTTTCGGATTGCTGCTTTAAAAATTCCCTCCATTGGATTTTGATGCAGTCCTCATTCTGCCATTGCACATTTTTGTGATATGTTGCAGCATCTGTTTCAATATGGAGAGGATTATCCACCTGCCCCGACCACATGAAGCCCCGCGAAACGTTTGCCATTTATGATTTATGCTGGCATTCGTGGAATTTTCTGTATTGACTCTACGCGAAATGCATTGGCATTGACCTGGGCGTACCTTTCCCATTCTCGCTTTATTTATGGCAGCTTTTGGCTCGTGGAAATTTATTGATAACGCGCTTCCTACCACAATATGGCCATGCGTCCTGGCTGGCTGTTTGTTTGTTTTTCTGGGCAAACAGGCAAACCTCGTCTCGATATCATCAATGCTAATTTGCTATATCATCGGTTTTGGTTTCGGTTGGAGTTGGGTTTAAGTTTCGTTTTTGCATTGAAAATGAGAAGTTTTTAATTAATGAAGTTTTGAAAATGTGTGGACAAAGGTAGATATATAAAGTCATTTACATTTAATTAATATTCAGCATTGAAATAAATTCCTAACAAATAATGCAATACATTTGAGTATAATAAATTATTCAACATTTTTAATCCTAATTCGTTTTTCTGCCACTCACAAAATGAACCCAACTCTGAATGAAATGAGAGTGAATTAAAAGTAATTGAAATGTGTCCCCGGAATGGAATCCTTCAGCATTGAAGTCCGTCCCACCAGCTACTTAACCCTCATCAGAGACATTATCCTTGCATATTTGGTGGGCGTCACATGTGCCCCATGCATCGTGCAACGTTTTTTCATTTGAAATTCCAGCGTAAACACGTGGGCTGCCTGCACTACGTGAGCTGCCGCCGGTTCTAGGGCGAGGGGCAAATGCTAGATTCTTAAGCTAATTTCATTAAATATTCATGGCCACGACACGACAATGCACACAAAATACGTTGCCAGCCATAGACATGGGACACACACATGCACCCATCCACGTTGCAGTGGCAGTGGCATTGCTGCAGTGCCTCAGTGGCTCTTCTCTGCTGTGGATCCTTCGGGCTGTTGTCAAAATGTCAAACTGGCTTAAATTTTAACGTGCTTGGGCCAAGTTTTTGGGGGAAATGTGCCGCACATGTGTGGCTTTTGTCGATAA